TCCTTGGGAGCCAGTCGAGTGTATTACATTGCTAAATGAGTGGACTTTTACTTTTGCTAAAAGTAGCAGAGATAAGTGCAATTTGTATACAGGATATGACATCTGGTTTCCCCTGGCTTTGTTCAGAGAACAGAGGCTTTGTTATTTATAAATGAGGATAAGACGGAGAACTGATGTGTTTGAGTTTTGTTGTTTCTTAAACTAAAATTATATGATTAATTAATCATTATCAGTTTCACACACGGAAAAGTCTGTCTGAAAGAGTGTTTTTGAATTATTTCTAATTTTTGTCTTTTCTCTCTGTGTTTTTGTGAGTCTATTTTTTCCACAGGGTCGATGCTGTTTCTCATGGGGGGGTGATACTCCATTTCCACCTGGACCGATTGGGAGCTGCGCGCCACCTCGTGCTAGCTTTTTCCACCTGGCGTTTCCTGGGGGTCCTTTCGAGGGAGGACAAATTGTTCCAGCATCATCACATTCACCTTGAGCAGGCCGTATTTCGTGGCTGCTATCTTTCTGGGCGAGGGTCCTAAACCTCTACACCTTCGGCCCTTTTTGTTCTAGTGTGGTTTCTGATCACACACACCCTGCTTTTATTGACATAATGAGAACAGAACAGTTATTACACACTGTTTGCATTTGTTTCCGCCTCCATGAAACTTTGATTTGACCCATCTGCTATACTGAACTAATTTGTGCATTTCTGACTGGCTTATTATTGTGAATTTTTAAATGCCCCACCAGGTTAACTGCAATGCATTTATGTCTGTGCTATTTTTGAGATTTCATGTGTCTTATTTCTCACAAAGCCTGCGTTGATATTTGGCTCCCCCTCCTGGGAATAAAATATAAGAGTACATACTTTTTGAACATTTAGTCTTCTCTGGATGAATTGGGGTTTATTTTTTATGTTTATGTTTTGTTCTGTTAATTTCTTTTATGTTTTTCTAGAGTTTTGTCCTCCTGTGCAGTTCCCTGGTAAAGGTTAGATGCCTGTCAGCTGAGTCTCTGTGAGATTCTTCCATCGGTAGGCATTTGTTGATAATTTGTTTCTTTCTGCGGTTGTGGTATCCCGGGTGGGGGTATTCCATTACCTCGAGCCTGGTACCCACGAAGACATATTTGAGGGAGATTTAGCCCGTCTGGGTTTCACCTGTTGAGGTCCGGGGAGCTGGAGAAGTGCTGTCCAAACGGCGTCTATGTCTTTCACAGAGGACTAGTTCTAGGCTTAATTTAGGGTTTAGTTTAGGTGTGACAAGATGAGGGTGGAGCTATTACCTTTAGTTTAATTTATTTAGACTTTAGGTTTAGCTTTTGTTTGTTATTTTTTGTTACACATTTGTTTTTTTATTTTTCTTTTCCTTGCACAAACCAACTTATGCCAGTAATCCATTGCACTATTTTTCCCATATTTCTCCATTGTCTTTGTTGAGTGATGTATTGGTGTTTAGATATTTCATAATATTCCATTTGGTTTGTTTTGAGTATTGTTTACTCAAGAGGAGGGATTGTCATGGACTAATTATTCATATCTGTTTCCCCTTGACACTGTTCATCTCTCATATCTTTCTGGAGGCTCCGGTCGCCATCACAAGGCACTGAACTTTGACATACTCTGGGTGTGAGCCTTGTGATTGGCTGAACTGTACATTTGGTGATCTGTGATTGGTTGTAAACTGACACATGGTTTGGGCATGTTGTATATTATTTGGCTGTGTGCTGCTGACGCCGCCAGCGGCAAGCAGACAGAACCTTCCTGATTCAGTTCTGTGTGGTTGTTGCTCACAATTAAATCTTATTTGATTATCACATACGCAGACTTTTCTCGTATTATTCCAACGTGTTTCTGCATTTGCCACCACAATTAGAATCAAAGTTTTAATCAGTTGAAATTATTGAAGTTCTATGAGTTGGTTGATTATAACATTTTACAGGTTATGTATAAGGCTCATAAACGTTGCCTTTAAACATCCAATTGAATTTTGTTAAGAGAGAAAGTTGTTATAATCTGAAAGGGGTAGAGA